AATCAAACTGTCAGAGCTCTGATCCTCAGCCAACTCCTCCACTCTCAGAAACCACAGGAGACAGACAGGAGCCAGGCTATACTGCACCTAATCAGCACAATCGATCACTTTAATTGATGACAGCAGAGAAATGATTATCAGCAGAGGATTTATCAATGTGGCCAGGCGTTCCATTCCTCACTGTCCCGTCGAGGTTATTAGACTTGGTTCCTCCATTTAAAGGCCAAATAAATATGTAAACATGTCATCCTATTCTCAGCCAGAAAGGTGGGGCCTCATTTATATTACATAAACTGACCTTTAATTACAGCAGCTGCCTCAGAGCAGTCGCATGAAATGTATCGTCCCTTCAGGTTTATCTAAAATCAGACTGGTGTCTAGGGCTGGGTATCAAACCAAAACACTTTCTTAGTACAAACCGTAGAGTGTCCGTAGAGTAGTAGGTGTAGAAAATGTATGCTGTAACTGTCAAGTACCAAAAGCTGGCAGGCATGCATGCGTAAGATGCCAAAACACTGCAGGTGGTGGTTTATAATACTCTGAGACAGTGTATACAACTTTGGAAAGTTATCACTTTGTCAATCATTTGTCTTCCCCTTTGACGCAAAAAATACACACCCTTGCATGTATGTGAAAGGCTAACACTATTCTATTCTCACTAAAATAAACAAGGGTTTATATGCATTTTAAAAATCTTCCTGTAAAAACTGTAACAATGTCAGTGGCGAACAATATCCGTGGGATCACTTTCAGAGCAATATTGTGATATACAACTTATTAAACGCTTAATATAACAGTGTTAGGCTGCAAACTAAATATAAAAAAGTTATTCTACTTGAGAAAACGATGGTTCTCTGAAGTTTGCTTGGTCCTTACTGATGTCCTCTTGTAACTAGTGTTGGATTGTCTGAACTCCTCCCGTCTTTGAAGAACTTCCTGAACCCATAATATCACTCTGGTTTACTTCTTGTTTTCTGCACAATGTACAGCAGTACATTGTTATCATTATAATTATTCTTATTCGTAGTTATTGTTATACAGTAGTTATACTGTAGTTCTTATTTACCTGTTGACTTGCATGGCAGGACTGAGACACAGTGAGTGAGTAGGGCTCGGATAATATGTTTTTTAAGTCTTTTCGCTTAATAAATGGTATAAATTGCATCTTGACTTCTGTATGGATTCTTCTGTTAAACGCGTCACAGTAAAGAGCCCACTTACAGGCTTTTTTTATTGATAGGAGTCGCTACAAGCCCCTTTACTCTGGATAACCTCAAAGGTTTCTGTTGACTATTTCTTTGATAGGAAGAAGCTTGTATATCTAAAACCTGGGCAAATAAACCCAAAACTATACGCATGGCCAGATAATAATAAAGGTAAGTAAAAACAAAAACAACATCTTATTTCTGGAATTTTAGTTAACTAGTAGTAAATAGTAGCTTTAATATTAGCAGTATGTTTGGATGTTTCTTTTATACAGGTTTTACTTTTTTGTGACGTTAACTTCCCGTAGTCTTTGATCAGTTCATTCCTAACATAAATCATAATTTTGCTAATTGACTGTATTTTACTTATAAGAACATCTGCTTGTATTTAAACACCATTAAACATCTGTAACGATTGCTTCTTTCTTTTAAAGAAAAAGATAGTTTTGGTATCTGTACCAAATTTCAGGTATCATGAAATGTCACTGACATTTTTTAACAACACTTAGCCTTACTTTTTTCTAATATATCACCATTACCACAGTGATCCTTTTGTTTCCATGTTATCTTAATGTATGTCTTTATATCTGTATGTAGTCTTTAGCAACTATATAATCAGACTATTTACCTATAAAAACAGAAAAGCTGTTCTCTTGCTGGACACTTCTGGTAAACCTAAATTGTGGCAAGAAATGCTAGGCTAGTGGTTTAACTCGTGTAGTAGATGTTGAGTACAGAAAGATTTGAGAAAAGGGTCACATACACAACTGATGCTTAATTCTAAAAAAAACAACGGCACTGTGCAGTGAGTGACTCAGAGGTGACCAGAGAGTCGGTGTTGGGCAGCTGGAAGGGTTTGAGTTCAAACCCCACCAATCTCCCAGTGCTTCAGAGAGCATTTCATCTCCGCTAGTGTGTGTCACTGGACGCTGATTATTAGGCAACAGACCTGACACTTACTCAGACGTTATTTCAATCCCTGACTGACAAACACAGACACACAGTGAGAAAAGTACTAACTGCTGAACTGTTCCCATGGTAACACGGACCAATAGATCTCAGCTATTGACTGAGGATGAAGATCTCTGTAGACCTATTAAAGAAAACACCTACACACACAAATTCTGCGAGTGCCCGCAGACACGAATGCTCCACACACACACACACACACACACACACACACACACACACACACACACACACACACACACACACACACACAAGCTGGGCATCAGCCTCCAAAACATATTTTTGTTATAAATGGAGATGGAGAATACAAAAATAAAAGGGGAATGTTTTCCGTCTAAAACAACCTGAAACAGCTTAATGCTTGAGTAACCAGGTAAGAGAGTCAAATCTCCCCAAGCCATGCTGTGGAAAAGCTTGCTGTAAAGTGGCACAGCAGCATGATATAAAAGAGGATATGTTGAGAGTGAGTGGGCGATTTGCTCAGATTTAACTGGGGAGGCTGGGCACATAAACTGTCTTTTTCCAAATACTTTGGCAATCACTTCCATATTCAGTATCTCTGGCTTTCATTCTCAAATCTGCGCCTAACAATGGGGTATGCATTTCATACGTCTGTGCTAATCACAGGGGCGCAGTCATTCTTTATTACCCGCAAAGGACACCGTAGTGGTGGCACGTGTTAGTGAGAGGAAGCCGTATTTCATTATTTTCTTATCTGAGAGTTTATAAGACAGATTGCTAAGGTGCTACGACTGAGAGTGTTCTTCTGACCCTCTGTGTGTGTGTGTGTCAATCACTTAAATACTTAATACGAAACAACAAAGCAGCAAGTAAACCAATCAACAATTTACTCACTCCTGTGATGTCAATGTGAAACAGAAAAAGGCCATTTGTTCTGCTTTTGGCCACAAATGACTCAATTCTAGGAAAATGGAGAGGATGATTTTTTACAGCTTGTTATATTGCAAGGTTGTGGTTGTGTGTGGTGGGTTTAGGCGGGATACATTGTTGTGTGGCACCAAATCATGTTTGCCTGAGAAAGTATTATTTGTTGTCCATGAAAGCAAATGATCTCAGTGGATAAAAGAGGCATCTTCAGTTAAATGGTGCTTCTATGAGATCTACACATATCGCCTGATGACATTTAACAATAATGAGAACAATTTTATGGAGACATGGGAGCCACTTATCAATTCATTGCCACCACATATTGCAGACAGCCATGGGTTACTTTCAGGTCAGATACAATATCATTATTAGCAAACATTTCATGAAGCATATTCGCTCTGTATGAAATGAGATGTTGACCTAATGTAGAAACTACGGTGGGTGGGGGCTGACTTACCTTCTTTATATTTGTGTATTATTTGTATAGTGACGGCTAAAGATACAGACCTGTGTGTTGCTTTGGTTTTTATGGGTTCATTATGGTTGAGAAAAGGTAACATATATTTTTAAAACTTCAGCAGCTCCATGTCTCATACTGAAAACCCTCCACATTTGTCTGTGAAACATCCTGAGTAAAACTGAGACATCATTCCTGGAAAGATGTTTGACATTTAGGTTTTTCAAATGTCAACTTCAGAGCTGCCAGCACCAAAGTTGAAATTCCATTCACATCCAGTCTGAGTGGCCAAGATCTCCAAACCTTTGTAAATACAACTAAACTTTAATCTACCTGCAGAGCTAGTTATTGGTAGGGTTACAAGGAAAAATATGTTGTTGTTGCCAGTTGCATCTATGAGTACGTCTGGAGCTGGCTCCAGCTGATGGATTTGAATCTCGGATGCATTTACATCTGGGTTTGGTAGATTTCTGTTTTTTCGTATGGGCAGCTTTCCCACTTTGGTTCAGTTGTATTCGTGCTTAACTCTCTGTGATACTCATTTGTTTTCAAGAACCTGTCAAGAATATAATCAATGCAAACTTGACTTCGTCCAGTCAAGGCCTCCTCCATGGTTTCTTGGAGGTTGGTTGGGGTCTAGATTTGGATTTGGGTTTGACGAGTTCAATCAAGCACCTTCCAGTGCTTTAAAAACAATCAGTATATCCCTTTAACAAAACCCCCAACAATATCATTGCTTTTTGTTGGCAATATTGAGAGAGCTGTAGTCAATGAGACTGAAATATGTAACCTCTTTGCTGCTATGTTCTGGTTTCCTCAGATGGCTGTGAAGACACGGAGATCATACATTATTTAACTGTGCCGACTATGAAACGTCCCCTATGGATCTTGTTCGAGGTTGACCACCTCGGGGCTCAATGCTCCATGTATGAATAAAAAGTTTCCTCGTTAATACAAAGAAACATCCGGCCGCGGAGAGCGCGCTGTGGCGGCGCAGCGCTGCGGTCCGCTGTGCGCTTCGGCTGCGTGTTTTGGGGACGTGACATCGGTTAGGGCCTGTGTGTGACCACACTGATGCTTTAAATTGATTCATATCTTTAAAATGCAGTCAGACCAATAAATCAAATTAGTGAAAATATACATGCTGTGAAAACAACAACAATGCCCCCAGAGATCAGGAAGAACAGCTCCAGACGCATCAAAATGCCTGCCTTATCTTCCACAACCCACTGTTGTTTTTAGTGGTTAGCCTATATCTAACAGTCTGATGAGATCTGCCACACACAGACATTCTCCTGAACTGGCTGATAAAGAACTGCATTAGTAATATGAGAGGATGATATCAAGCCAGCTTGAGACTGGGAGCCAGAGCATTCAGCGCCACTCCGGTTGTTGAGTTTAAGGTTGAATTTTTTGGATTATACGGAATAAAAAAGGGCCACTCTCACAGGTTGGAAGATAACACAACATCAGTGTCTTACCGTCAGCGGCCAAGGAGCTCTGCATCATCAGCATCAGCACCGCGCCGATGGTCACAATCCACCGGGCCAGCATCCCATCCAGCGCCCGCGTCCTCCTCCTGTTCCTCGGCGAACAGGCGGCCACCATCCCCGCGTTCAGCATCCATACCGCCGGAGAGGAAGAGCAGGGGTCTCCTTTATTATTTACCCCTCCAACTCCGGGGCCACTGCTTCTAGAGAGGAGCGCATGTTTGGGAGCCATTGGTCAACCAATTAATCCTGAATGGAGAGCATCTAACGGCGCTGCTGTGGTGAAAGGCATCCGATCAACGTGCCCCCGGTGCGGACAAGCAGGGCTCCGCTCTCCATGAGCCTGCTGGAGGCTGTGGGGATCGATACGGAAACAAAGAGCTTTCGAGTTTTTCCTTTACGCTTCTCACCGAGTCTGTTGGTGTGTGTACGCGCAGTGTGAAGTCTGATGTCCCTACTGCGACCGCAAGGCGCTCTCCATCTCCGCTGGCAGCTGCATCAACACACGGTCACAGTACCGGAAACCAGCCTATGCTGCCTTCAAAATAAACGCCTCTTCAAATCGCCTGGAAGTGCATTTGGCATGGTGTGGTTAAGTGGGCCCTTTTTTCCACAGTTGTGTGTAGTATAGATAGCCTACTAGCTGTAGTATACATTTAATAATGTCTTCTATGGCTCGTCATTAGGATCTGGCTTTGGAAAGTCAGAAGTTTAATGGTAATGATCATGTTTCTGTTTCTGTCATCAGCTACAACATATACACAGGCTGAGCCACCGCAGTGCTGCTGTCCCAACACAATGCTTGTGAACATGTGTTAATCCTAATTATTAAACTAGGGCTAAAGATTAGTTTGTAAAATGCAGAAACAATGTGTCTGAACAGGGTGTTTAGAACAAATCAGGTCGGCTGAACCAGTGATCTCTTTTAGGTCTCTTCTTAAAACACACCTTTATCAGAGAGCCTGTCCTGATTGTACTTGAATTTAGATTCAGAAGTATCCTTTATTTCCTCAATGTTTTTCTTTTCTTTTTATAACTTGTTTTTATTTTATGTGAATAACTTTGTATCGTTGGTTTTAAAAGTGCTCTATACATTTCTTCTTATTATTATTATTATTATTATTATTACAGTATAATGCTCAAACCCAGCAACCAGAGTTCATTTTCTAAAGCCTCTGCTGACAGCTACCTTTGGTCCAGGTTGTCTTTAGCATCCATTTCCCAGCTAGAGCACCCCTCTTTATATGATTTCACTCACTGTTAACACACACCTTTGTTGTGTGAAGGGCAGCACTCACTCTGAACCTAGGGCAGGCTTTCAGTTCAGGCTTTAATGAGTAAACTGCCTAACTTCCGGTCTTGTTTGGGCTAACTTGACGCAGCTCCTGGCAGGTAGAAACAGCCTTTGCTGTAATTATGGTAGAAATGCCAGGCTGGTCCGACTTAACCCCTCCTCTAAAGCCAGTATGGAGGACGGACGAGACATTCACTAGTGTCCAGTGTCTCCCCTCTCCCCTCAGTAATGGACCGCACTGAAGCCCGCTGCATCATTAAAGCAGAGACAACCACGGCGGGCAGTGACGCCAGCGCTGCTCTGCTGTTTGATGTGTTTGGGCAGATCTGAGTTCAGCGGGAGGCAGGCGACCCCTGGTGGAGCTGAGGGCACAGTCACACTGCCTGTTACACTGTTACACAGCCACACCAGGGGAAATACACTCATTAGTACTGTTCCCATTGTGCCCAGTTTACCGTAAAGGAAATGATGGTGGAATCATTATGCTGCCGCTGGAACACCCTCCAGGACCCCACAATGGTAAACACTGCGTTATGTCCTCGACAGACTTATGAGAAGCTATCTGAATGGCGTGGTGGCATAATGTTCCAAATTACATTGATTTGAACAAATCATTAGGCTGAACACATCATTTCTGCCCAGTCATTAGTAATAACTATCTGAACAACATGACCTACAGGCTACAGGTTCTCCCCTGAGAGTGAACCCCCCGGTTTTATGACATTCACAACAACAGCTTATTAAATGAATTGCTCGTTTTATATAGTGTCTCTCAGTAGTTTCAGCGGGCTGAAAACATTCAATGAGACTGACGGGCCGCGGTGGAAATGACGCAGGAACAATTCAACAGAAAATGGCGTCACATGTATCAACAGCTCAATTAGTGTAAGTGAAGACTGAGAACATTTAACACGAAGCTGATACACATCAAGTAAATGTCTTACCTCAGCTGAGTTGACATTCTTTATCTTTATAAGGAGTCATATTTAAGGATGTTTAAGTGTGTGTGTGCTAAAGAGAAGACGTTTTGGCGCCACTTGGTCCGCTCTCCGGCTCCAGCTGCTATGGTGGCCGGTGCTGATGGATGGATTCACAGAGCTTTGTCCCCACACACATTTGAACTTGTCACATCAGAAAAAAACAGGTGTAACTAGTTACATTAAAGATGGCGTCCTTCCACCCAATAATACAGCCAATAACAATATTTATAACAACTCAAAATGTCTGCAGTGAAAAAGCTGCTATGAAGTCTCCTACATGCTGGAGGGGATAAGAGTTGGTTGGTTAAGAAAGCTGATAAAATGCTTCCTAAGCATAAAACCTGGACCACACATGGGCCACTCGAGAGTTTGAGGCTTGTTCGGGCTGATTTCTGACTGAAACAAAGGGGACACAGGGCAACACATTTACTTAACATCATAAGGACTGACCATTAAAGTTAGAACCACATACATAAAGATGGACTTTATGACAGCTCCCCAAAAGTGAAGCTATCGCCCCCTGGTGGCTGGTTGCAATATAGGTCAGAAAACCCGCTGACTCCATGTTAGCAGATGAGAAACACCGAAGTACACGTAAAATATTCTTTTCCCAAAGATGTTTTCTGTCATTTTAGGTCGTACTTATCACGCTGATATATGTTCAAGTCTTTATTTTCCCCATCAGTTCGGTTTTCATTAATTATTTGATGCTATAAAAAGCGGGTTTTACATGATTGACATCTGGGTGTATGGGCGGGACGTGGATATCCTGGTGCCAACCCAATCACTACTGCGCAGACTGGCTCTACCTCTGGAGCAAGATGCGGCAGCCATATGCAGTTCCATATTTGCCATATCCTGGCTAGATTTCTGTATGTTTGGAAGAAGTGAAGACGCAATGTCAATCTTTTATACACTGAAGAGTTGGACTGAAACTGGCTGAGCCAATATTTAATGTAGTCAAATATCAATGTCAGCATCAGCATGAAAAATAAAGTCTCTTTAGTAATAGTTTAGGTTTGGTTCCAGAAGTGCGGGGACAAAATAGTTGTACCCTGGTACAACAAAAACTAGAAATACTTTGTAGAGCTCTGTATGGTACTAAGCCTACATAAAATTAGGTACCTGGTACTTTCTGGTAGAGAATGATGTATTTGCACGTTTACTAAAACAAACACGTGCTCCACTGTCGTCTTTTTAGCAGAACGTTAACTGTAGGTAAAAAATAGAGATTAAAGATATTTAACTCAAACCTGAAGCGAAGTGCTGTCTGCAGGTCTTCCCGTCAGGCTGCACACAGCAGCCCTAACAACCTTTATCACGACAGCAAAGCAGTCCAACACCGCTCGCTGCCGCTCCATAAGCTCACTGCTTTGAACTGAAACTCAGATGTGTGCATTTGTCATATTAACCATGATAATGTGTTTTTCACAAAAATAAAGTGGCAGCCTAATTTAGAGACACAGAGAAATGCTTGTTGGTTCACAATCAAACAGCAAAACGTGTTCACGACACGCATAATCAACAGAGACAACAGTGGCTGAAGCAAAAGATCTTTTTTAATTCAAAGTGAATCTTGACATAGTACACCATTAATTCATAATTTGACACTCACCAATAAGAGTCACCAAGAAGGAACCCGCTTTTTGTGACAAAGTACATAAGGCTTGGTCACATTGAAACTCACTGAGAACTAGAGGGGGGAAAGAAAACGACCGCAAACTGGTAAGACACACATAATTACATCCAAACAATTATCATTTTCCCAGTCCTCATATTGTTGTATATTGCACAGTGCAGTTGCTACATGTCAAACTAGTGTAGCATTTAAGAAAAAATAAAATCAAAAATAAAATCATAAAGCCACACAGATCTACACATATTCAGAACAGTAACAGTTTCAATTTAGCAATTGTGTCTACATATTTGTGTCTAAATACAATAAATGTCAACCCGATAATTAGCTGTGGTACAAAATCTACCTAAAACGTGTCAAAGGAGTCAAATTTCGCACAACTTATTTTTCAGCCCAGTACCCAAATGAGATGTTCAGACCCATGTTTGTAGAATTGGTAGTTTTGTCTGGGAAGTCCCAGTAAAAGCAGGCCCACAGGGGCCACAGCCTTATTCTGAGAGCAGTCTGCTGCTTAATCTCTGAAATATTGATGAACAAAGACTGGACCCAAACCTTGTTCAATGCCATATCCCCCCTAAAAATATGAATGTTTATTAAGAACAGTAATTGTCCCCAAATGTTTTAGGAGTATTTAACAGTCCTCAGGCCTGCTTTGTTACTTAAGGCTGAGCTCTGGATCTGTGACTGTGTGACCCTTTGGTGACTTTGATGATGCAACCGTCAGCGTAGGGCTGCAGGGAGGCGAGATTATCTATCCTAAACAATCAACCCAAAGTGGTGGGGGATTACGGACATCACTGAGGTGGGACATGTTTTCATCTCATCACAGGTGCTGAGCCGACAGAAAGCACAGAGACATATGGGAATCGACGAGAGAGGGTGCACGCCACAGGGTGGAAAAAACAGAACATATTCCTTGAAGTAAAGTACAGATTACTGCGCCGTGACACACACCTATCAGTTAGAATTCTAGGCTGCACTCCAGGCTGAACAGTGCATCCTCCGTTTGTCTAAGGATCATCAACACAGTAGCATCAGACGAGTACACAAAATACACCCATTACAAGCAACATAGCAAAACCATTACAATGTAATACATTAAGTAGATGCAGCGTATTACTTCCACCATGACAAAAACATATTTGATCAGTTTCTTGTTTTAATGAGAAACTATTTCTTGTTTTATAATGACACTTGTCCTTGTTATTATTGGATACCAAATTCAGTTTTTACAAGAAACGTTTCTCAGAACACAAAACTGAGTACGTTTTTTTTTTGGTCACAGTGGCAGCACTATGCTGCCGTAGATGAGGATGGGACAGCTTTGGACCTAAACTTTGAGTATGACTGATGGATAAAGCATTTTGAACAAACCCCTGACTGAAAAACTTGCTGATATCTACCAATGGTAATAGCTGCATTCAAAAACTATCAACATCCCAATCATGAAATGAGAGAAAACGTATATCCATCAGAAATGCAACAAATAACTCATTTGCAAACCAAAAACAGTCTCGAGTTCCACAAATACATTCACGGTGTGAGAATAAAGCTTTGCATTTGTGTGTATTCAGGCCCTATGTGTTTGAGTACTGCACGGTGTTCTTGGTGAGCGCAATAAAACATTCCCTGACTTGTACTTTCTTAGGATTCTGTAAAAAAGATTGTTTTCAGACCTCGTTTTAGTCTAACAAACAAACAACTTTGGGGTTTCGTGATGTCAAAATAGGAGCTGATCCCCTTAGAATTCTATTCTACAAATTTTTCTGACTGCTGTGAGATCAATGCGAGACGTCATCTGTCAGCCACTTGTTTAAAGAAAGGCACTAGTTGTACAGTACGAAGAGTTGCGAATACAGTCCAATAACGGAAATAAAAGCCATGTCATCAGAAGGAAACTTAAAAACGATAATACATCAACGACACACTGGTTACAGAATCCAAGAGTGAACCCAGCCTACGTTTGAAATACTGATGCTAAATGCACACACACACACACACACACACACACACACACACACACACAAAGCAACAGAATAAAAAAAAAAGAAAGAAAACTCATAACTTCCATTACAGCAGTTTACAATCACTTCAAAACAACAAAGCCAATATACAGAGGCACTAGCATATAGGAATAGCATTCAATATACTTTAAAATGAAACTCACTTCTATTGTATCTAGTCGTCAGAAATACAATACAAAAGAGAGAATGCAGGCTAGAATGAGATTAATCCTCTAAATTCACAGCTACGAAGTGGCAGATAATCAGTACATAGCAGCTTATTATCTATACATTCCAAATACAATTTGCCAAACATAGCTCAGAAAAATAAAACCTCAACCTCATTTTTAAAATAGAGATCTCACAATATATTCCAATGTTGATAACTGCAACAGTATGCTGGAGGTGAAAGGAGAAATAGTATCGACCATGCTTCAGAAATGATTAATGAACAGTCTTTGGTGCTGATTGGAGTAAAATACCAGCTGATAGGACAGATAAAGACAAGGCTCTACTACACACTGGAAATCAAACAAAACCAAAAAAACAAAAAGTTCAAGGCTATGCATCCACCCTGAAGGAATGTATCAAAACTGAGAAACAGGCTTCAATACATGGACAAAAGGTTTATCTCACACAAATATCTGAAACAATTACTGATACACCTCTAACACTCATAGCCCAGCAATGATACTGTAAATTCATAGGTTATTTCAAACACTGAGAAGCATTTAGAAGTTCTACTTAAAACAAAACTTTTTTTTAGTCTATGCCACTCCCAAAAACTAAAACAGAAAATGCATTAATGCAAGTCTAGCCTAAATGCAAAATAATAGAAACACAGCAACCCAGAGGCTTTCTAGATTGTATTGCAGTTACAGTAAACAGTGACAATACTGTTATGAATTAAGTACTATAGTGAATAGAAATCGATTATCAAAATATCAAATCACTCTTTATATACATAAAAAGCTCATTCAGTCAAAGCCCTAAATGTGCAGCCTCTAGCTAAAGTAAATCCATACTCTGAGTTAGAAAGCAAACTGAAGTCCAACATTTGCCAATATTATAACATAACCACAAGCATTATCCTCATATCTATCCAATAAGCCCATTGTGTTCAGAGTCTGGATGTTAAGTGCTGCAACCCCATTTAAATGTACAATCTATAAGCTCCTGAAGTAACGTCATAGACTCTGGTTTTAAGGCACTGAGAGACGGCAGCAGTAAAGTCCGCCTCAGACAAAGACAGGAGCGTTCAATCCTGGTTAATACAGACTGGGATGGCTTAACAAACAGATCTGACCGGCTAGCACATGCTACAAGGCAACAAAGATAAAGGGAAGGGGAGGCTGAGCGCCCTGACAGCAACAACAAATGATTTCCAGCCTCTAATTAGATCATATTCTCTGAACACTACTCAAACAACAAATGACAGGAGGTAATGTGCAAAGGACACATTCTTAATTAAAATTTCCTTATCGTCATCATTTGTGAATTCATTCACTCTTGTGATGCTCTCTTATAAAGCTTTGCAAGTTTAATCAATCATTGTTTTTCTCCATTGGCTGACATGTTTTCGCAGGAGGTCCTTCAGAGCTGAAGTTGCTCTGACAATCAAACATGATCACTGACGTGAACCTCCAGTTTACAGAGGCTGCATGTCACCATAAAACATTATCTTCAGCATTGTTACTTTTGCTTTTCTTTCTCAATCCCCTATGATACTTTGTTATCCAATCTCCTCTTGTTAACCACCTTTTCCTCTTCCTCATCATCACAAATGTCCGTTTTGTGCTCTGCTGCTAGCTCTACATGCCCAGGTCGCAGCACCAGTCCATTTCCCGTTGCTCTTCCTCACCAGAAGGTACTGCTGCGGCCCCGTCTTGCTCCTCAGATATAAGAGAACTGGGGGTGGTGGCTGAGCTTGGTGGGGCTCAGAGGGAAGCCTGTGTAGGCGGCTGGGGAGGCCATGTAAGGGTGAGGAGGGGGGAAGGGAGGCTTGAACTGGTGGGGGTGGTGGGCATAGCCAGGCTGGTGATGTGGGTGGATGGTCGGGGAGGGGAGGAGCCTGTGTGGGTGGGGAGCGGGGTGTCCAGGGTGGTGGGGGTGGGTGCTGATGCCCAGGGTCACCTGGTGAACTATAGCGCCTCCTTGGGCGTGGGAAAGACTGTAGCTGTGCTGGAGGAGAGGGGGATGAGGGCGAGAGGGCAGGATGGGGTGGGGGTGGTGAGCAGCGGTGAGGGGGCCGTTGGCAGGGTAGGACAGCAGGGTGTGTGTGGGCAGGCCTTGGGTGTGCGTGTGCGGGGCGGCCGAAGTGTGCGTGGGGCTGCTGTGCGGCAGGTGTGTGAAGGTGTGTGTGTGGACAGTAGGAGGGATGTAGGCGTGGGGTCGCAGTGGCCCATAGTTGCCGTTCCACTCTTTGTTGCTGTGGTTTGAACCGTACGGCTGCACCTGGGACAGAGAATAGACAAACACAATGATAATCTCTTAAACACCCAGGTTCACACAAAGTTTCTTGCTGAGATTGAAACCACTTTCATGTCTGTCCATGCCAGCAGCTGGTTAACAAATCCACCTACCAGCCCATCTTAAGCATTATTTTACACTAAAGCATTAAAACTACATGTTGTGGTTTCATGGAGGTTGTGTGCTGGGCTATGTCTTGGCCGGGATCAGAAACGTCCTGGAGGTTTCCTGGTACATATTGTTTGCATTATAAACATTTGACTGAGCCACATATCTATACTCACTTACCTTTATGCAACCAGTCGTAACGCATAATGTTTTACCTCTGGAGGTTAGCCTCCACAAATTTGTCAGAATGCACCCATGATTTTTACATCTGTCTGCTTCCACAGCGTAGCCCTGGAGTTTTAAAGGCACACTATGCAAGATTTTTACCTTAATATAACAGCTTCGAAGTAATTTCGATGGTAAACGAACTCGTAGTATAGCGAATCATCCTGCAAAGCAGGAGAGGGACGCCGCTGGCAGAACCAGCCATGCAAGTCTGAAAGGTGGCGTCCCGCCAAATCTCGCGAGAATCACAAATTGCTTTACGGCGACATAAGAAGCAGCCTCAATGGAAGACACTAGCAGGCATTCACTCAGACGTTTCCTGGTCAGTAGACATCTTCGGAGTCTATCTTTGCCTGTTCGATGTCCGACGCTTCCATCCTACTGAACATGTACCGGTATACAGGGCGGAGGGGATCAGGCCGTGAGTGCAGAGACGCAGAGCCGTATATAGAGACAGCTCTGGTGAGTGGTATTTACGAGTTAACGTTAAATACAAGTACTCCGCAGCGACTCTAGGGGTAGCTCTTTGACAAAACCGGAAAACTGCATAGTATACCTTTAACTTGCTTCTTGCAATCCACACCCGATTTTGCAAGCTGTTGTGTAAGCTCATTAAAATACCTGTTTTATGACACAAAGCAACACAGTCCTCATTGCTTTTACTACTGATTTCAACAGTATTTCAAAAAGTTGCTCCAGAAAGGAGTCATTTCTGCTGAATAATTTGTGGGACCAGTTTCGTCTTCCTGTCATACGACTTCAGGCAGCTACTCTTACAAAATATATATTATATGTTCAGCTCCAACATAGTCATAAAGGAAAAGAGCCAAATTCACCTGTCCAAAGCCCAGAGGGTGCTGCTGCTGCCCAGTCACCTTTTGCTGCCGAGACAGGAGGGGGGCGGATGGGAAGAGGGGGACGGAGGAGGGAGTGCTCTGTTGTCCTACGAGGCTGCAGCGCCCTTTGGACCGGGACCAGGACTCTGAGACTAGGATAGAGAGAAGACAGAAGTGAGTCAGGCAAGGACATATATACTGTAAAAATGGATGTCAGGTTTAGTCCACATGACCTGCAAGACTAAAGACAGCGAAGCAGACCAACAACTACAAAGATTTCAAACAACAAAAGCAAACAAGCATGCATACCAGAGTGAAAATAGATTCAGACAGTGCATACTGTTCAATATAGAGAACATGAAAAACATATTCCCAGTTAGAACTTAAATCCAGGTTTCACATCTGAAAATGTTTGTCACCACCAAGGGTTTTGACTGCTGATTACCATAGTTAAATTATCAATCCTGATGTGTGTGAAGAGTAGCTTTACCAGGTAGACAGAGGCTAAACATGTTGAAGAGCAGCAAATGATGTGACTGGTCCTACTTTGTCCCATACATCTGAGCACACTGAGTGCTGATGAAAGAAATCAATTTCATCCCCTCTCTCTCTGCCTCCCTTTCCTGTCTATCTTCAGCTGTCTCTATCATAAAGGCAATAAAAGCCCCCATAAAACCCTTAAAATTAGTAGTTTTTATCTACAGAGGGAGAGGGTTCTTTACTATGTTGAAATACCATGTTAATACAGTACCTCAGAACGGACAAACCAAAACCTGGCTTTAGATAGGGCATTTCACAAGTTTTGCCACAGCTTGTCCTACACACTTGGAATGAGACTGTGAGGTGAGGGGGTTGTAGTCTGCAGCTACATTGCTAGATAACACTAAACCCTACACACTGGACCTTAAAGTTCAGTCTAAGGACAGCTGCAAAAGCTCAGGCTCAGTAGTTGATTCTTCCAACAGTTCTTAACATTTGACATGGAACATTTCCCCAAAAGAAGAAAAGAAGACTATCAATATTTTAAGTTAACAGAGTGAGTGTGTATACAATAATGTGTTAAAAGGTTAATGTAACAATAGATAAAAACTCAACAAATACAGTAGTGGGCATGTTCAAGTGTCATGTTTAACCCATTCTAGAGACTTGCACTGGATCAACTACAAAGAGAAGTAGCACTCAATACTGCAGAAGCATGCCACTCCTTCTGGATTACAGTCGGTGTGGAGGAGGTTTTATATTATAGCAGGGCACTGACCTTAATGAACACGAGAAAATAACCTGCTTCCAATGACATGTCTGAGTTAGTGGTGTAAAGGAAAGGCAATTTTTAATTTTATGGACACAGTAACTGTAATTTATGCTACTATTAAAGAATCATCAAACCTGTCTTTTACTTTTTAACAGTGTGGAATCTTCTGATAAAACACAGCACAATAAAACTAGACAATGAAATCCATAAAGTCTGGGAAAGAGAAGGAAACAGATTCTTGGCACTCAGAAAAGGCACCTGAGGAGCAAAGTTGATCCATGGACTCTGATCTGTATTAGTTTTAAATTCACCTCTATTCCTAAAAATTACCATCTGGGCAGAACAGAAAGGTGAAACTGATCTCAGATCAGTCCCTTGGAGCAACTTTTGCTGCATGGCAAGAAATGGCAGAGAAAACACAGGCTCTGACCTAATACCAAAGGAAATGCATCCACCTTTCCCTCCACTCCTATGAACCAACAGATTCCTGTTCAGGAAATGTTTATGTAAATAATCCGGATCACTGATGCAGGCATAACTTGGTGCTGTCAAACAAGATGGGATTTGTTTTAGATACTTAAGCTACAGTTAAGATATTATTTTGAAGGGTTGGTGCGAGTTACTTAAGGGATTAACAGAAGAAAACCTCCAACGTCAGCCAAAGTGACTGCTTAGATGAGGAGAGCTTTCATAATTTTCCACTTTCTGCACAGCACCCAAATTAACAGAACTTGCTTTGCCTTGAGATATTCTGGTTCACTGAAGCTAATACTAAATGCTGATAAATTTCAAATGATGCACACATATTTTAAAGATACTGTTATCTAACTGTGCATGTGAAACAGGTAAGGAACAAATACACCAGCTCAGCAAATTGTCTAAAGATTTTCCTCTTTCTTCCTTGAAAACTTTCCTTGAAGAAAACTGCTTCTTTGATGGAGGGAAAGCCAACAAAGAAAACTCTCAGGCAATGTTAGCATTGCCTCCTATGGATGCATCTCTGAGGTATTGGTACAATGTGGCCCAGTTCTCTGTTGGTGTCTCTTGATCACCTGTTAAAGCCTCTATGACCCACTAGGGGGTGGTAAGCCCCTACTGCTTCCACATGACCTGCAAAGCAGACACCGCCAAAGCACAGGTGACAGACCACATGACAGGTGGCAAGATGACACATATTTTAGGAAAAAACTTTTCTGTGTTAGTTTTTTTTTCCACATCAATATTTTCAAAGCATCAGTATTTTAGCTTTTAATGAAAAAAAAGGTTAAATCCAACAACACTCTCCTTTTCACCTATGAAATCCATCCTATTTATACTGAAAACAAGTCATACAGTACTAAAACATACAAAGAGAAATATTTGATCCCTATTGGAAAGGTAAACGTTTCCACTGACCCGTTCTCTGGACACGCTCCTCTGTCCCTTGAGTGTTATTGTTCTGCACTCTCATTGGTGGAACCACCATTGTCCTGACGCCACGGGGACTCCTGCCCTGCACTGCAGGGGAAGGCAGTGGTGCTACCATGGCAGCCAATGGTGGGCGGTTGTTGTGGTTACTATTGTCAAGGTAACGGTAGGTACTGTTGCCACGCGGGGAGGTTGATGTGTCGGACGTGGGGGAGCCTTCCACTGTGTCACAGCCGCTCTCGTGGCCGTCGTCCTCAGACATGCTGAATACGGAGGAGAAATAATACATTTAGATGACTGCAATCATTTACAGATAATAGATGGACAACATGGGTTATGGACATGGACCAAACTAAACAATCCAAGTACACGTCAGATACATTTTTCACAGAGATGGTTTCTGTCATTTAGTTCTTATCACACTGATGTACGTTCAAGTGTTTATTTTTGTGGTAAGTTTGGTTTTTAAATTAGTTATTTAATGTTATAAAAAGTGGGTTTCGCATCATGATTGCCCATCTCAGGACTGAGTCATCCGAGAGTATGGGCGGGACCTCGATACCGCACCACCAACCCTGATCACTACAGCTCAGACTCCACCAGCATAAGATGGCAGCAGCTGTATCCAAGATAGTCTGGATTTATTTTTGTACAATATTTATATGTCCATGACTGGAACTGACAGGAGTGTATTTCTAAATTACTACGTTAGTTTGGACAAAAGACTACCTGTTAGGTCTCTTGCACGGTGAGACAGAGGGACTGGACTGAAGTGAGTTGGAGGCAAAAGAACTGGTGCTGAGGCTGCTGTCAGGGCTGCTGAGGGAACACACTCTCTCCATAGACACGCTGGTGTTTCTGCAAGCCTCACACACACACTCCTCTTTACACCTACGAGCAGAAAAATGCAGGTTACCATATAGCAGGTGAAGGTTACTGCTGTCTATGTCTGTCACCTATGTCTCTGTATGGGCTTGAACAAGTTGATTCTGATGATCCCAATTCCATTATCTTAGAGCTTTGATGTTACTCACTCGCTCAGACGGCACCTCTGAGGGTCTTCATCCTCCCCCTCATCCTCTCCATCGGTCAGTTCACTATGGATGCTGATCACACTGGGAGCAGGGCTTGGTGTGTCGCCCATCAGAACTGCCACATCTCGCTGTTGTTGACTGGACAGGTCCAGGTGGCTGTTACCATTTGGTATGACCTCTTTGAAGCAGCTCACTTCGTCCTCTACATCATCTTCCTCTTCATCCGTGTTCTGAACTTCCGGTTGCCTGGTTTCCACCAGAGGCACCTCCCTCCGAGGCTGCTCCCTTCGTGCCACTGCCTGTCCAACAACATCGGCTATCTTGGGGGTCCGACATGCTGATATGTGGATGTTGCTGAGGTGGGACAGGTTCCTTTAAACAGAACAGTTGATATATTAGAAATAAATAAAACAACAGATGCGTTAAACTTTAAAGGTGTGACTACAGAGCAGAATCTCACCTGTTGTGACTGTGTCTGTTCCTTTTATTGGCTGGCTGGGGCCACACAACATGAGCTATTCCAATGTTGATTGGCTGATGGGCAGAGAGGGCTGACATCTGATTAGTCAGGAGAGGCTGTTGCATCACTGAATTGTAGTGGCTGCTGTGAGGACACACTTTCCTGTTAAAAGGTATCAAAAGAAAAAAACTAAAAAGAGATGCCAGAGAAAAATAATGCAGCCTTATACTTTAGAGAAAAAAATAAATGGCTGGAACAGATTACATGCCATTAGGGCTGGGTAGCGAATTTTCTTTTTCGCACCAACTAAACGGCTTCGATACTATCATGTAGGGAAAAATGCCTCATCATCGCAACAAAATTTCAACACCTAAGGAATAAATCTCCAGTGTCTCCAGTTTGCCAGTAAACATGCATCAGGGTGTCTAATGTTAACGCCTAGAGACAGGACACATTGTTTGTTCTTTTTAATGCCAGTTGCTTATCTGCACAGACAACTACGTGAACTTTGTGCTGCTGGCTAGCTAGCCAGTGCAGCTAATGTCGTCCCCCGGGATAGAAACCCTGGTGCATCCTCGGCTCAACACTGCAGGTTTGGAGAACCCGAAGCCGAGGCAGAGGGCATTACTGATGGCAAATAAGGTGTTGCTTACAGACTGACAGTAAACAAGGAGAAATACGTTGTCAGACCAGGTCTTCAGCACAGAGAAAGGAGGAGGTTCTCGTTCTCTGCCACTATTTTCCAGTACCACAATCCGTCATTCATTTCTTCTTCTTTGGATTAGGCAGACGAGATGCTACAATGGCCTTTTTTATTATTGTTTCTTTTGACAGTTTTTTTTTTTATATAGTCCAATACTGCACAGATATTCTATCAGTTTCTGTATTTCCCAGATGTTTGGATCTTTATAATTGGTATCAAAAAAATTATGGATCAGGAACCAGGATAGAAAAATTAAAAAACCCAGCCCTACGCACAACACTCTGATGAAAGCAAACAAAGCTGCATTACAAAATAATATTATATTTAAGAAATCATGTTACAAAAAAAAGCTGAATGTTACTTTAAACACTGAATGCAACCAACACTTTTTGACTAGTCTTAAAAACAGGGAATTTCACAGATTTTAAGTTTAGGTGACTCAGAGAAGGGTGACTCACCCCCAGTCGCCGATCCTCTGCGGGCCAGCTGTGGTGTCGTTGGTAAGGGAGGAGGGGGGTGGTGGAGGGGGGTGAGAGGGAGGAGGACCCACTGAAGTCATCTGCTGCCAGGCTGCTGGGACGAGGAGCTGCTGTCCCCGGCTAGACCAGGCCTGCTACGGGGACAGAACAGGAGAATCAGGGACATTGTATAACCATTTATTGATCTGTATTGTATCATTTTATGATCTGTATTAACTCTTTCAGACTAACAACACTGCAGACTAGGAGACACAAGCTACACAACTATAGAGAACCCATGTTTGTGTATGTGCCTTACCTGAGCAATTACACCAGGCCTCACTGGTAAGGGCTGTATGGGAGGGGCCTGAGTTACCATGGGAACAGAATACCCTGCTGGTTGGTTAAGGTTACCTTTAAGAAAAAAAAGCATAAAACAAACAACCTGTCATTTATGCTCTTCAAAATGGCCATGGCTAAATTTCATCTTGGTGAAGCAAGATTAAAATACAGTTAGACACTTTATACTGAAACAGATGAAGTTCTATTGTCCAAATATGCAACATTCGTATTAAAAGGACTTAAATTACTACAAAAAATGTGCTATGTAATCATTGTTAAAAGCGATTAGTCTACATACCTTGCATGGTGGGAGGACAAAGAAGAAGGGCAGGTGGAAATGTGTCACTGCACCCAAACTGACCATTACCAGTTGCTAGAGCTATTCCTGGGTGCAACACTGAGGGAGCTGACTGGGTTATAGTCTGCATTAGAAAAGAGTACAAAGAGGGAGCGGCAGAGAAGGCAGATGATCGAAAGAAACAAAAAGAGTGGCAGACAAAGCAGAGAACAGAGAAAGAGATAATGTGGAAAGAATATTTAGAAGATGGATTTAGAGGAAATCAAGTGAACGACAAAGAACATACAAAATTAAATTTAAGATTACCAATGACTAACAATTGACAGTGTCACATGTGACAGACAAACAAAGACCAATATTCTGAGATGATATGTTATAGCACATTCTCCCCTGAAGAGGGCAACATTAGGTCAACAGTACAGAAGTACAGACAGAAATATTATCTAATCAAAGATTAGACATATTTATAGCTGTTTATGTTCTCTGTCTGGAAAAATGGGGTGTCACCAAAAGACAATGTGTACACCATAACTGTCAACGGAAATAATCTAGCCACCCTCATGTTGAATGACAGACTAAATAATTCTAGAAGCTAAATTGTTAGTAGTTAAAAAAAACTGACCACTGAAAAATACAATACAGAGGTAAAACATGCCCTGCTCCAGTAACAGAGAAAAAATGCTAGTAGCCCCACACACACCCCCACCCCCACCCCCACCCACCCACAGACGTATCTCACCTGAGTGTGAACTGGTATGTTGCTGTAGCCCAGAGGGAGTCCAGAGGAGGCAGTGGGGGCAACGGGATGTCTTGGGAAATGAATGGTGTTCTGATTCAGAGCGTCAAAAACTGCATTGGTGGGCCGACTGTGGCACATGTCCATGATGCGGAAAGATGACTGCACACTGGAGGGAATCAGAGGAGTCGTAGAAGGTTAGGAGGAAAATTACAGGACAAAAAAAAAATAAGGCCTTCATGCCATCTCTTTGTGAATTGCTAGTTACTACAGAGAAGACAAACAAAACAGAAAACAAACAAGAGTGTGCAAGCCAAGACATTTTGTGTCAATGGCAGTTGTAACAGCCTTACTGGTTACTATGTGGGTAGTCCAGCAGATGAGTCATAGTGAGGAAGGGGTGACTGAGGACGCTGGAGGGAACAGTCCTGTCCTCAGCGGTGACAAGCAGCATGCTCTTCAGCAGAGACACAAACTCCCTCCTGTCGGCCTTCTCTGCTTGCATGTCACTGTTATCAGGACTCAACACCAAGTTCACCTGACAGATGGACGCAAAGGCACACAGAGAGAAAACACTGCATATGAGAATAACACAGGAAACACAACAGTTCATGTCACAGTTAATTAAGAAATCCAGGAGTACTTACACAGCAGCCTAACTACGTTCAATGTGTTTTGAGATATGATCATGAAGTTACAACTATTTAAATCCTCACATTGCTGTGTTTCCAAATGAGAACCTGAAATTGTCTCTTGCGCCTCTTATGTTGGGCTGGTTTGATTTTTATCAAAGTCATTTGATCTGGTTGGACTCACGTGTGCTATGTCATCCAGACAGCTAAAGATGTACTTTCTGGCCTCTTTCGATTTAAGTCCCGTCTCTTTTTCATGCTCTTCTGTTGTCTGGAAGAATACAAATATCAAGATAAAAAAATCTACAGTATATAGGTGCAGTATGTATCATTTTTGTATACACATTCTGTTGTATCTCTGTGTGTTTGTCATGTTTAAATTATAAGGAATGAAAGGTCAAAGTACTAGATGACATATGAACAAGCAGTGGGAGCAAACTATGCGTTTCCATGTAAATCTGTGTGGTCAAAGTGTTTTTCCTGGGAAGTACAGAGACAGATAAATATTAGGCTCACATTCATTTAAAAGTATTTAGAGTTAGCTCAGCAGGTAGTCTAAACAAAGTTTCACATTTCCTAGAGCTTCCCTCAGGTTGTGCTGGCTTTGTCCTGTTTTGAAAAGCTTATGCAGCTGTTTCCTATAGGGAACGTACTGTCACAAACTTTTTGTCCTTGCTGCAAGGACTTTGCCTTGACTTTCCAAAGAATATCTCTATTTTCATTTTGAATCTCACCTTCCCACTTAATCTATGTGTAAGTGCCCCAACCACCACAGGAACCAGTGGCTGGTGATAATGTGTGTGGAGCATGTGTACTTTGCATGTCTATAACATGTTTGCATATAAGATACATGTTCTATGTGTGTATATTTGAGTGCATGTACTTTTAGTCTCCAGGAGGCGTAGGGAGAGTCGGACTCTTTCGAAAAGAAACGGGAGGTCTTGGTCCCCTTGTTGAGCAGCTGCTCGGCAGGAAGGCCCTGAGTCTGACAGATGTACCGGATCTGAACAGAGAGAGATACAGAACACAGACAGAAGAAAGGAGGCAGAGAAAAGTTGAAGGGAGAGGGGGAAATTAGCAGGAAAAGCACAGTAAAATGGAATTTAATTCATTTCCACGGTTAATGAAAATAGTCTTTAGTTACGCTGATGCATTCCAACAACATACGATTTTGAACTTTACGTCAGCAGCTTGTTAGTGTGGACTTGAAGACTTTTTCATTAGTGCTCTAAAAAAGCAATCATCCAGGCCAGTAGTGAATAGGATGAACTGATACTGAACTGATATTTCTGATATATCATATATACCAATGGTGTAATGGTAGTTCAAACCCGATTAAGACTCTTTTTGAAAACCAACATGAGGCAGAGAAATTATCTCCCACATGTAAACACGTTATACTCTGCCACTTGGCTTTTGGCCAAGAGCTGGTCTATAAGTTGCTTGTTATCTAATACGGCATGCTAAAACCCCTGCACTTCAACCTTTACTGCTGTGCCAAACTGACATACATGGAGCGCTTCACAGGCTCAGAGCGGATGCAGAAAACATGCCACACACACAGTAAAGGGAGTCAGAGGTTACCGACGTGGAAAAATGTAGCACAATAAAGAATTATTTAATGAACTGAGGATTCCGTTTATGATAAAACAGCGTTTAAATCCTGCATTACTTATAAAACTTTAGTCCTTGCTGAATGTACTTAAGGAATTTATGCTTAACCTACACAAGTATCATCAAGGCCTCAGGTAATCAAGTTCCTTATTTGGACTTGAAGTGACAGATTTAAATCGTCACGGCTTCTGATGTAAATCTTATGACCAGAGACTGCGTAATGCGAAATGTACAAAGTGAGCATCCTGCTCATAGTTTAGATATAAAATTGCAGCGCAACCAAGGAGCGTTTCTCCTGCTGGGCCGCTGACAGCACCGTCAGCCGAGCCTCTAGTCACGCTGGAAAGCAATAGAGGAGGTTGCTCCAGTGTCTGGTTCAAAAGTATTTCAGCCGACTATACTGACAGTCAGCACCGGAGGCAACAAATGTGCTGCCCTGCCTTGCACTGTCCAGTGTTGCCATCACCCTTGTCTACTTTCATCACAATCATTTTGTGGTTAGGTCATTTTTAAGACGAGATTTGGTTTGTAAAGTTTGCAGCCTGCCATGCTGTGTACAAAGACGCAGCTACAAGAAAGTTAGGGGCAGGCCTAGGTCAGAGTTACCCCCTCCCTCACAATCACAACTCGAAACTTCTCACGTGATCTATTGCACAGATGAAGATTATACATCTGAATCAAAGTAACTGATTACATGTTTCACTGGGAGTTACAAACATGGCTCTGATGGAAAACTAAATTACCTGTGTAACTAAGTCATAAAAATGCATTTCAACTCACTTGATAATCTTCAGTGGTTTCCAGCACTGTTCATTTGCAAGTCATAAATATTCTAAATATATTCTGTATTCTCCTGTGAAATTAACCATCTGTATATTTCCCAGATATGTGCTCAGTTTTCCCAAGAATTAATTCAACTCTCTCGCATGCATCATCTTGATTACCCCTCTCAAAATTCCTTGATACTCCAGAAATCCCATGACCAATGAAAATCCTACAGTGATTGGTTTTACAGCCTGTATGTGTGTGCATGAGTGCATGTGCATGTGTCTATGGCCCAGAACAAACACACTGACTGGCCAGAGGGCACTGGACTGAGAACCTGCTGATGGTGCACCAAACGCTTACCAGTGTCAGAGTGTGTGTGTGTGTGTGTGTGTGTGTGTGTGTGTGTGTGTGTGTGTGTGTGTGTGTGTGTGTGTGTGTGTGTGTGTGTGTGTGTGTGTGTGTGTGCGCGCGTGCACATGTCTACCATCAGGCTTATGTTTATAAATACATTTTGCTGTGTAGAGTGGAACTGCAGTGAGCCTTGGCATAGCACAGCATACTTTTGGGGGCTCAATGTGCACGCGTGAGTGTGCGTCCTGGCATGGCCCAGTGGTACAACAGTGCTGTCACTGGACAGCAAAGCTCTATCAGCCACTATCTCTGACTGATGATTGTCCAAACTGCTGCCGAAGGTGACACCTCACCAAAAACTACAAAAACAGACACACGCACACGCATTAAAAACAGAGTAACCAAATAAGCCATCAATTTTGTTTGTTGTGTTCTGCGGAAGTCCAACCAATTTCAAACATTTGGTTTGGCACAGAGAGCCACATAAGTGAAGAGCTTTGTAGATTCCCATAAAAGGTCAAATATTATTTTCTCACATAAGAGATGCCAAGACAAAACAATTACAGGGTGTCCAAGTTTTTTCTTTTTCAAAATTTCGAAACTCATACACTGAAAACATGAGGCTTAACTCTGGTCTTCACTGAGTTGCCTATAGTCAAACACAGGGTAATCCTGTACTTGTCTGTGAATGTGATGTGGGCCTTTTCCCATGCTCCCTCTCCCTCGCCGGGGGACTCCTTTTAAAGTCCCAATAGTGTAGCACAACCTTGTGGGAAGATAATCACACATTGCCAAGAACAATTTCCTGATTCACTCAACTCAGATTAGTATTAGGTGGATTTCATGCTGGATTTGTCGACTTCTATCACATGGCGAGAGAGAGATCAGAGAGTGACAACAAATAAAGGTTTACCTATATAATGAACATACTGTGGAGTGTTGGCTACTGCAAAAGTAGAGACCTAAGAATTATTATTATTATGATGATGATTAAGGATTAAATATGTAGTCTGTAATGTCTGAAAAACATAATTTTGCCCTCTTTGCAGCCTCAGGGCTACATCTTTAGGGTCTCTCCTTCCCTTCCCTTGAAGTGTGTGTACGTGTAACACAGTGGCTTGCAATTGTTGTATGTGTGTATGTGTGAGAGGAATGTTACCTGGTCGTACTCCAGCGCTCCGGGGTAGAGGGGCCAGCCCAAGAAGAGCTCAGCTATCACACAGCCCAGTGACCACATGTCTATGGCCTCACAAAATGGCAGGCCCAAAATAATCTCTGGAGCCCTACAAAGAGACAACAGAGGCAGAAAGGGTTATGTCTGAGACTTGGTCACAATGTAAAATACAACTTTTCACACTGTCACAGTGGACAACACAGAAATGGATTCACACGAGTGGCAGGGTTAGGGTCTCTGCAGCTTCTGTTGCATCGATAGAGCTCAAAAAGGGAGGCTGAACAAGATAGCTTAGTGAATAGTGCAAACTCTGTAGACCATATAAAAATCAATATTAAAACTGACTCTGGATTTTAACTACGACTCCACTTTGTGTTGCCTGCACCTTGTGTAATCTCTGTGCTGCCACTACCAACCCAAACATGTCAGGCTGTCAGCAATAAGAAAACCTTTCAAAAGCACAAATTCATAACTGTCAAGCATTTCAGTTTTGTTCCAACATATAAAAAAGGTACAGGAAGATATGCTAGCTAATTAGTGCTGGCCATCATCAGCATAATTCACAACAGAAACGAGTAGTGGAAAACTATATATTGACTCTCAACAGATCATATTCAACTTCATATCGCTTTCTCACCTAATATTCAAATATTTTGTCCAATCTGGGAACAAAACTACTACCTCTAAAATGACCAAATGAGTCAACACCTTTCAAGCACAGTCTCAACATAAACTCAACATGGTAAACATTTATTTCAGGGCTTCTTTTTTGTAGTTTTTCAGTTAACATTTTAAGCACCATACAGAACAGATGAAATTATCTGTAAAAATTCTTTATAATACTTAGCGTGTGACTGGAACTGGCATGTGTAATTAGGTCATACCATTTAGGAGAATCTGTTGGCAGAAATGGAATATAATATTCATAGATGTTTGTGTAGTGTATAAATCACCTTAAAATAAGAATAGTGGTTTTTGTTACCCTACAATGAGTGTTTTTTTTTAATCTACAAATGGCAGTTGCCTCCCGTTGAACTGCCATGTTTCTACAATAACTCAAAACGGACAAACCAAACACTAGTTCTAGATGGAGCCAGTTGCGTTTTTCACTTTTCACGTTTTTTTCCACCATAGTTTCTCCCTTGCGCTAGGAAAGAGAGGGTGAAGGGACTGAACTACACTCCTAGATGCCAAAAACACTGGTCATTTTAGGGTACCACCTTTGCTTCATTTGATAACATTTTAAAAACATTTCAAACTAATTTCCACTTATCTCCTCATGTTATGGTTTTACATTTTATATAACCCTATTACACCTCTTAAATTCCATTTAATTTAACAATTAGGAAAGGAAAATTTTGAATACCACAAAGCATGGTACATAACTGTCTGTGCAAGAAATCAAGGACTCATCAACAAAAGGTAATTCAGGGATCTCAAAATGAACATTACACCCATATGACGTACATGCTTACTGCAACAAAGAACTAAATCTCTTCCAAGGAATGGACTTTGTCACTTACACAATTCAAATGGAGCTAGTAATCTTGCAGCAGTAGTGTGAGGCGGCATATGAAAACAATGGGCCATTAGCCCTGGACACAGCAGCTGAGCAACAGTGCTGCAAATAGCAACCACTGCTGTGACGACCACAGGGGAAATGACTGTTGCCAAGCAACAACCGGACGCAAGACCATAATGTAACAGTATTACAGGGTGATAAATGGGGCCATCGCTCAATGTGTATATGACCGTGAGCATGTGTGTGTTTCTATGTGTGCATGTACGTATGCATGTAGACACACAACTGCAGATGTCACGTCTATTACATTTACAGCACAGCCCATGCTGCCATTGTGCCCTCCTTAGCCTGGAGGGGGAAATTACACTTTACCATTTCCTATTGCTCCTTCAAGAGGAAGAAGTCCAGTTACGCAATACCAAAAAGAGCCTTGAGGGTGACTGTCCCAAACATTTAAGGAACAATCCTGCAAAGCGGGGACAAAGACACTGATTGAAGCTTTCCTAGTTTTAAGTGCTTCAATCATCAGAGGTGTATTTGCCCAGAGAGAAAACTTTGTTTGGACACAAAAAGAAGCCTGTTACAACACAGTGATAAGTCTTGGGCACAGACGGAGCAGTTAGAACCCACATTTAAACACTTTATCAAAGGACAATTATATTTTAAAAAAGAAAAAAACACTTTATTAGGATATTTCACCTACATGTAGGACAAATTTCAACAGCTTATTAGTTGAGATTCAACTTTTCAACTGTTTAACGAATTAAATTGTTTTCTTAAGTATTACACCACTATTGTTAAGGTTTGGTTAGGTTTAGACACAAAAAACATCTTGGTTAAAGTATGTTCATGAATTGTCACATCTACATATAGATAATCTGTTTAACATCTACAGACAGAGCTGAATAGTTGAAATGTTACAAATGCTCTAAATCTATCTGTAGGCGGATTATCAAAAAGTCTGACCAAAAAAAATGATGATATGAATTCAGACTCAAAGGGCAAAGAAACATAAATAAAAGCATAGGTGGACGAACTACACGCTGGTAGTGCTGCACGGTGCACCAATACTTCAAAAGTATCGCTATTCTCGGAAATTAAAAACATCACGATTCCTAAATGTATTAGTATTGATACTTTTAAGAATGACCGCGCTCCAGATTTGTAAGAGACGTATTTCATGTTGGTGTGTACAACGCACGCTTCCAGTGCCTTCCAATGGACGTCTGTGTTTTTTCTCCTCACGCACGCAGCAAAGAAGCTGCAGCTGTCATGTGACAAACACTGTAATGAGATGGCTGCATGTGCGAGCACAAGTGATACTGTGGCCACCGGTCCATGACTGGTAGAAAAAGATGACGCGAGGAGTGAAATATGGAAGTACTTTGCCTACCTTGCTGACAGTGAGGGCAAAGCTACCGATACGTCAAGACCTGTTTGTCGTCAGTGCTACAAACCAATGCAAACAAAGGGAGCCAACACCTCGAACCTGGTGAAACACTTGGCCGACAAGCACGCCGAGTTGTGCAAGGAGTTTAAAGACCGACAGGTTAATATGTGAAAGATCACGTTCATGCCCTTAAATAAGTCAAATGAGTAGGCTATGGTTTATTTTGTGAGAAGTCACTTTTTTGCACCACCATAGTTTGACGAGGCTATCTGGAGAAATAGTAGGCTAACTATGGGCATTATCCTCATGGCTAACCAATAGCCTGCCTACGGCTAATTCAACATCTCTGAAAACGCAACTTTCACAGATAACATTAATAATTTGCAAGCTGCTAAAATAAAGCATACAAAACATCAGCTAAAATGATCAGTAGGCTAGATGATTATAATCAGAGCATGTGCATGTTAGTCAGTAATTTATTTATATTAGGTTATTACAGCATTTAAAGAGCACAGACCTACGCAAAGGAGGTGTATTTGTGAAACGCCTTGTAAGAAATTATGGACTCAAATATAAAGTTAACCATCAAAGAAATCAGACGTTGAAGTACAGGAAACATTAGCCTATATTAATCCATATATCACAGCTTAAATAACATTAGGTTAACTCATTATTTCCTATTATTAATTATGGTAATGTTATGGTTAAGTAAATGTTAGCAGTTATCACTATAGCCACTGCATATAGAGATGCTAAGTTAGTCACAAGTTATTGTTACTATCACACATAAACTATTTAGGTGTGCTACAGAAGTCTGGAGCCACAGGCTCAATGGCTGAGTTTTCTCCTCTGAAAGGAAAGGTTGCACAACTGACAGAATAAGTTACAATATGTGAGATATTGCTGCTAAATTTTATTTGCTTTTTTTCAAAGTTCAGAATCAAGATAAAGTTATGTTTTATCTTATGTTTCTTATGATTACTGAGATAATGCTGCTAAATTTATTTATTTTTTTACCTTGAATGTCACTGATCTAATTTTTTATATTTTGATATTTCATATTTTGTTCAAATGTTTAATATATCTGCTGTTCATATGTTCATTCATTAGTGTGCTATATGATTAAAATCTTGTCGCGGTTTTAAAATAAAGCACAGCAATGACATTTGAGAGTGTTTCTCCCTTTTCAGGAAAAGTATCAAAATCGCAATTCTTGACTTGGTATCGGTATCGAGACAATAATTTTGGTATCGTGACAACACTACACACTGGTAATACAAAAGAATGAATTACAAAATTACTACTACACAAACTTGATATTGCTTTCTCACACAGCTTTCAGTTCTGCTTCACTCACGCTGCACAAACTAAAGATCAACTGAGGCCAAATTAGGTAATGCTCACGATTACAAAAGCCTAAAACCTCTAGTTGTAGTTTTAACTATACTTTAGCATCAAATCCATGGCCTCTGCTGTTGCTTAATGTTTGAGGTAGAGAACAGATGGGTACAAAATGCTTTACAGTAAGATTTGTTATTTTTAACAACTTACCCTGTTTTGTTGAATACTAAAATATAATTATCATTTTCTGCTGCTATAAAGTCTTGAGCGTTTTAAAACATCATGTTTGACAGTTGTTATCAAAGTATTTTCACTTTATACTGACATCGGCGGGAATGAGTGCACAAATATTATCCACAGACTGCACCAACACAGACTAAGGGTATAGCTGTCGCCTAGGGCAAAAAACATAAACAAACATGCGCACACATAGTGGGGTGGGAAGGGGATCCAAAAAGGAAGCACGTGTTGTTGCTCCCAGCTATACTACCAGACTGATAAAAGCTTCAGCAATGGCCCCAGCTTTCCAGAGCTGTAACAGCTCATCACATAACACACGTTTAACACACTACCCGCACACACACACACACTACCCACACACCCACACACACACACCCACACACACACACACACACACACACACACACACACACACACACACACACACACACACACACACACACACACACAGGTGTTTGGCAGCCAGACCAGGTTCCAGAACTAACTAGTCACACTAGAGAGCAGCAAACACTGCAGACTGTATGGCAACCCACCGCCACTGTGTACAGAGAAAGTAGATAACTATGGACACACGGACACACGGACACACGGACACACACACACACACAATATCTAA